ATCTCCCGTTTTCTCCTACAGCTTTACTCCATTTCTGCTTCTGGCTGAAGACACTCTATTCTGCATCTCAGCATCGCCTTCCCTGCTTCCTAAACTGGAGCCCCTCTTGCTCTTACAGAATGTCATGTCTTCACATTCACTATAGCTGCCTTGGGATGAAGCAAGACTAATACTGACAAGCTGGCCTCTGGCTTTGCTCAGGAGGAACATTAACCATCTTTAAATAAATAAATTGCTGCTTCTGCTCTCTATACAATTTAGAACATGTGTCCTTGTGACTTGATGTGTGGCTCATGTTAAAACTATTGTTTGTTTCCTCTGCTGCCAACAGCCTCCTCTGTTATGATTCCTCGGATTCTTGGTTTCTTTTTCTTTAATGGCCTGTCCTTCAAGGCCCTCCAAGTTCAATAGTAAATGACATCACTTGTCACTTAGGCATCTCCATCCAAACACAACTTTCAGAGGTAGAAATTTCTCTCTACCTCTCTCCCTCCCTTGCCACCCTGTGGTGTGTGTGTGTGTGTGTGTGTGTGTGTGTGTGTGTGTGTGTGTGTGTGTGTGAATACTCATGCAAGTATCAAAGTCAGAAACTTGTATTTTATAGAAAATACCTCCCACCTTCCATTCATGTTGGCCTTTATTTTGTGAGTGACCCATTAGTGTAATAATTTGAGCTTTTAATTAATTGTTGCCTCTTCTAATTTCTTTTCAAAATGCTTTAGGGATATTTAATGGGGATGTTGGATGTTTAACTGCACCCCCTTTGTGTACTAATTTCATCATCATTAAATTGGTTAATTGTTTAATAAATAGAAAATATACCATCATTCATAGACACGTGAGAATTAAATCCACTTTTTTCTCCCACAAGCACAGCATGAATTTCAATGTCCTCCAAATTCAACATTTAATGATGTCACTTGTCATATAAGCATGACAACCAGTATTAGCTGGCTCGACAGCCATACTTTTTTTTTTTAGACAAAAACTCTCTATCAATGTGTAAGTTTGCATTAGAGTGAGGCTTACGCTACAAGTACCCATTAGTGCTACCCCAATGGAATTGAACTTAATATGACAAGAACCTCTTCCATGGGGACAAAACTATCTTCAGCTATGTACCTCATCAGGGCTTCTTTTCTCTATATACATATAGCTCAAATGTCTTCCATGGCTCCAGGGTATCAACCTAAACAAAGTGAATACTTGCACATTCCATAGTATGTGTGTGCATTGGTATGGGTCCCATTGTTACCTTTATGTTACCCACCTGTTATGATTACCTACCTGAAAGCTCCTGGCATGCTCTTTGTCCCCCATGTCTTCTTCTGTATAAATAAGACAAAGTACTATGATGATTGCTCAGCTCACTGTCATTGCCTCCCCAACACCCACTGCTGTGGTACTGTTTCACAGCTGAGCTCTAAACATTTAACTGTAGACATAAGTATCATGCAGTGTACCTTATTTCATTTCACTTTTGCCTCCATTGGCTTTAAACTCTAGCTCCAGGGAATGCTATCTATGACTTCATGAACTGAACTGAACACTTCTGCCTTAAAATCGAAGAGCCTCCTCCATTAGATAGAACATAATGGTTAGAAAACTTTCCCCATTTCTGAATTCTACTCCATCATGTCTATATTCTAATTTTAATGCTATGTGTTGTCATGAAATCAGATTTTTGCTAGTTTTCATTCACATAATATTCCCTAAAAATCAGTTTGATTTTCTGATGTTGACCTATTGGATAAGCTAACATTATTCATGACAAATGTCAAGTGATCAATGTCATGTATTGTACATGACTTGGTATCTCCCCATTCCCATGAACTCTTTAATGTTTTTATCATCAGGTTTTCAATGGAGAGACTGTCACAGAACAGTCCACTTTCAGTGTCACAGAACCAGCACAGTCATAGTTCAGTCATGTTGACTCCAAAATCCATTGTCTCATCTGCTGTACTGATGGCAGTCAGCAGTATTAGCATCTACCAGTTAGGATACAAGTTCCTTTAGTGTATGTGCATGTTTATTCTCCCTTCCCTACAAGGAAAAAAATTAGACAGTTACCTCCATTTTACTTAGTGAACTTGATTGAGAAATTTGACTTCAGCTCTACTGTGTTCAAGGATTTGCCTAATCATTAACCCTTCTCCTTGCTTGCCTTTGTTGAACACAAGGATGTTTTCTCTGGCTTTGAGTGACAACTCTGACTCTCCTTGACAGCAACCTGCTAATAGGGGTTGGCAGTTTGAAAAATACTATGAGGAGGGTTTGTTTAAAGCTGAGATAACAGTTCATATTTTGAGATGCTCATTATTAATTCCAATATGAAATGATTTGCACTTGTTATTAACACATTAAGACAGCCAAGGAAAAATTAGAAGGTGACTCAACAGGAGACATTCAAATGTGGAAAAAAAAATACAGAAGGAAACTTTTTCCTAATGAGCTCAGTCCATGTTCAAGAGACATCATCCCTCTTAAAGCTTGATTGGTTGCTTGGAGGTTTTGGTGTGTATTTATTAATTAAACTTTTTAACTGATACATAGAAATGTGAAAGTATACATAGTAATGGAGTACAATGGATGATTTTTTATGTTTTAAATAGTTGATATAGTGGAATAAACTGAATTGTCATCTCTGGAGAGATGTATTACAGGTTACAACAGAATGCATAATGCTGAATACCTGTCACTTCAAAAGCATCTTAAATAATTTAATGTTTGATCAGTAGTCTTAAACTGTGATGAGGCAGTACCTCCCATATTCCAAGTTGAAGAAAAACTATCTTCTATAGCTTGAAAAAAAGATGTTTATAATCTAAGAAAAAGCATGTGTCATCCATTGTGATGTGTGTATGCTTGTATATGTGTATTACTATGTATGTATGTATGCATGCATGTATATGTACATTATGTGTTTATATGTGTATATGGGTGTATATATGTAGGGTTGTATGTGGATCTATGTGTGTGTATCTGTATGTGTATTTATGTGTTGTGTGTATGTGTGTATCTGTATGCATATTTATGTGTTGTGTGTATATATATGTGTATATATTAGTGTATTTGTGTACATGTGCAAATGCTTTATATATGTATATGTGTGCATACATGTACATATATTGCATATGTGTACCTATATGTGTGGGTATATGTGTGTATCTTTATATGTGTTTTGTGTATACATGTATGTGTGTGTATATGTGTGTGTGTGTTTATATGTCTGTATTGTGTGTATGTATATGCATTTGTATGTCTGTATATGAGTGTGTGTTTCTTTGTGTATGTATGATTCAACTGAAAAGTCATCATAACTAAAAACTAAAATTTTATGAAATTGTTGGTCACTCTTTTCTTTTCTCTTCCACACCATTGCCTTTTTTTGACAGTGAGAAAATAGCATGGTGAGCCAAAATGGCATTCCTTATTTTCTGTTTATTTTTGCTGATTTGAGGTTGTTAAATTGTAGTGCACTCACCTCATTAAATACTTGGAAACGACTGAGAGTTTTGAGGGGTCTCCCTTCCTGTTCCCCCAAGTTCTTTGGAATTTCCCATGTCATGCACTGTCTCTGAGAATATTGCATCTAACCAACTCTTTCTTCATGCTGGGAACTTATGGGTTTAACCTGAAAGAAGTTTAGCCTATAGGTCACCCGAAGAAGTGAAAAAGTTGATATGAGACTGAATTTTTAAGGAACATTTTCCTTCTAGTCTCATTTATTTTTCAAGTTTCATTAAAGAAACAATTGCCAACTATAGAGTCAAACTGTTATTTTTAATATGGTTGAGATGGAGGAAATAAAGAGTAATGTGGTGATGTATCTATTTAAAAAGAAAGAATAAGTTAGTGGGATTTTTAAATGTATTTTGTCATAGTGTATCTTAAACAGCATATTAACATACTATGAAAAATTTTGTTTTCAAGAAAGGATCTTCTTTGTAAAAAGGGGTAAAATGTGTTAGTAATTTTTTGTTTTCTACAGAAGAAGAAAAAAAGTATACCATAGAACCTATGAAATCTGTTTGGTAAATAGCTTCAAATGGAGATGAAATGTTCCTTTAAACTTTGTAGCTATTTAAGTTTGAGAAATTATTTTCAGAATGTTGATAAAGGAGAAACTGCATTTTACTGTTTTTTTCACTCTTTCCCCAAATGTATGCAAATAAATGTCAATTATTTTCTGTAAGAGTAACTTTTAAACCACAAGCAGATTTTTTTCCTTTACAGCATCCAATTTTGTATGAAGGAAATTATTTTAGGCCTAATTGCAGTGCGCGTGGTCAGGTTGCTCGCCCTAGTGAGGTTGAATTGCATTTGAACTTTCTAATCTTTTTTTTAAGAATTTAATAACTGACTCAAATATTTAATAGTGGAAGCTTTCATTAAATTAAAAAGAAATCAGAATATATTTTTAGAAGAACTAACTTATTTTCTTTATCAGTTTTGTCTACTTTAGGGCAAAAAGAACAAAATGGGATCAATCTGCTTGTATACTTAAATAGACATTAATGCCATAAGCTCAGAGCATAAATCCATTTAGTGTGTATCATTGTTCAAAAGGTTTGGGAAGCATCAAATGGCAGTAATAACTATGCTTCTAGGTCTACTGAACAGCAGATTACATTGCATATTTGAACTTCTTCATTATTCTTGTGCATAATTTTTCTTTAAAACCCTAATTGCTTCTGAGGACAGCTCTTAGACTGCCCATTCTCCAGTCTTGCGTTGCCTAATACATCTGTTAAATGCAGTGGCTGGTTTAAAATGCAGGTAAGGAAAGATGAGGGTTGAAGGACAGAGTGCATGCATGCTGCCTTACCTAGAGATGTCTGAAGAACATTAGGTGGATTCATTTACAAGCATACTTAGTAACAGAATGGTGAAACATGAAAGCGTGTTATAAACCTTTTTAATTAAAACACATTGTGCCATATATTCTCTTCTCCCTGGGGTTCACTTGACCTCTCACCTCTTACTTTGTCCTGCAGGAACACCACTGCTGGTGAGGAGAAGCAGTGACCCAGCACCAGGACCACATGCTGATGCCCAGCCAAGCATTGCAAGCCCAAGTGGCCAGATTATGAAACCTGTTGTTCCGGTAGGTGTCTTACCATTTGAGTTTCTGTGAAGCATCAAAGGGCCTTGCACATCAACTCCAAAGGGCTGAGAATTAGATACAGGCCTTTTGATAAAATGTAAAGTAGTGGTTATGAAAATAGATTGCATGGTGTAGTAGTAGTGCATAGTTATAGCGATAGCCTTTACTATTACTTACATCGCACTGATTGTGTGTTCAAACCCTCACTTAAATTTTTAGATGTAAGTAAGGACAAGTTTTATTCACCATTTTCCTGATAAAACATGAGGCTTAGGTAGACTCAGGGCATGTAGCTGTTTGTTCGAGGACATGTAGCTAGGGCATGGGAGACCCAGGAACTGAACCAAATGTCCTGGCTCCAAAGGCCCTGTTTCCAACCAGCATATGATCTTACTTTGTGCCTGTTGTCATATCCTACTTCAGAATTTCAAAGGATAGATTGGTGTGTTCTCAGGGATTTACCACAATGCTTTGTAAGGTAGAACATGAGTGAATGGTGGTAACATGAACCTATGATGCCATCATTGGTGTTCCAAAATTCAGCATTTTAATTGAAAGAAAATAAACTATATAAGAAAAAAGAATGCTTCTGAGACAACATATTTGGAACTGCTATATTTATGACTGACATGTTAAGTAAAAAATTACTTCTAGAAAAGATATTTTCTGTCCATCCCCATAGACTGTGGGGTTGTGTTCTTTCAATTCTCTGTTGCTTTGAAGAGCTGCAATGGTGGTTCATCCTTCCAAATTCCAAATAGCCTGCATGTTAAACTTTGGTTAATGACTATCCACGACATCATAAAGAACAACCTCCAATAATGTAACCATATTTTAACCTCTCCTAAACATCCATCTGTGACTCATTACAAGTCTCACTTTAGATCACTTTCTCAAAGTTGTATACCAAGGCGATGGATGGGCTAAGACAATTCTCATAGTTTGCTATAGTTTTGTTTTCATGAACCAGTGCCAATGTTTATACAGTAAGGGCTGCTATGCTGCATTAGTGAATATTTACCAATCAGTGAGGATTCTCCCAGTGCTTGCACATTTTTTTCCCTTAAAGTAGCACCTCTAAGGCATTTTAGAGGCAATATTTTCTCATCCCGTTTAAAACTCTGTGCTCTGGATGCTGGAGATGGCTCAGTGCCTAAGAGCACCTTCTCTTTTAAATATGTATTTTTTATGATTTTTAAAAAAATGTTTATATTAGAATATAATTACATCATTTCCCCCTTTCATCCTTCCAAGTCTCCCATATACCTCTCCTTATTCTCCTTCCCATTCGTGGTCTCTTTTATTATTATTATTATTATTATTAATTATTGTTACACACACACCCTGCTCAGTCTGTATAATTGTTACTCACATCCATGTGTATGTTTTCATAGCTAACTAGTTGGTATTGGATACCCAATTGATGTGCCCTTTCCAGGGAAGTCTGTTTCTTCTGCTTTCAACATCCTTTAGTTGCCTGTGGTACTTCATGTGGGGATGATGCCTCATGGTCTGCCCTCATCCATATAGGCATGCCTCTTGGTGTATTTCTTGTTCAGCTCGTATTTAGGCAGTCATGTTGGAGAGAACCTACCATTCTTGCAGAGGACTCTGTTAGAAACTCCATCTCTGGGGAGTTTTGGCACTCAGGGCACTCTTTTGGCCTATGCAGTCACTTCATTCATGTGCATGCATGAATACACGAAATCTTTAAAAAAAAAAAAAACCTCTGCTCTTTAGGGAAATATATTTGATAGCGCATTAATAAAAATCAGGTATACCTTTATTGATATGATCAACTTTACTGAGGTATACAGAGAAATCTAGTGTTTGTTGTTTAGTGGAGAATTTTGTTTGTTTGTCTTCATTTCATATTAGATATTCAGTGATTAAGGCCAGGTTAAGTCTAAATATATTGAATTGGGAAAAGGAAATGAATGATATAAACATGAGAGAATTTACATAAACAAAAATAAGTACAATTTAATGCATATTTTATGATGTCTATATACCCTAAAATGAGCCTGTCTGATTAATGTGTTATCACTGTTTGCATGAAGGAAATCCACCCACATACATTTGTTTGTATCACATAGGCTCAGTGCTTAGAACAATTGAAATTACATCAATATTGCTTTCTCTTAGAGAAAACCATGGCTCCCCCTCCAAATATGACCACAGGGAATTTTGAGCTTGGGTCTGTGGTTGGATGTTATAGTATTACTAGAAGAGATGTGTATTTTCATTTCAGGAAAAAATACTGGCACTCAGAATGCTTGCACTTTGCCTTTATGTGGATTACATGCCTCAGGTGCCATCAGTAGAAAAGAAAGTACATGTGGTGTCCTTAAGTGGCCTTATTAGATCATAATCAGTATATCACTACAAGTGTACATTTCCTTTCCTCTATAGTGGGGTGTGTGCATGGTGATGAGTAGAGGCTGAGACCTGAAGGATGCTATGGCCCTTGCCTTGGCTCAGGATTAAAGCACTTATACTTCTCTTGCTTCAATTGTACAATAATCTCTGTGGATTAGTGTGATTCCTAACCTTCCAGGAGCACATGCTGTGCAGTGTTTTTCTGTACACAGAAAATGCTCAGTGTGCCTGCTTTGGGTTAGAAATGAAAAATACATGTAAGCTTAGGGGAAAATAATCTTAGAGTTTTGAGCAATAAACCAGCTTAATTAATAATCAAACACATCTATTTTTATTAATCAAAATAAGAACAATAACAATCATAATATATTTGATGTCCATTTATCCCTTTAAAATAAACATAAAAAAATAATTAACCTAACCCAGCCAATCTTCCTGTTACCCATTACCCACCCCTGAAAACTCTTTATTTTTTTATACTATTATTTAGTCTACCTAACTCAGAAGACCTGTACTTTAACCACTCCGTTGTAAGAACAGAGTTAGTGAGTAGAGATTCTTGAGTAGGTGTCTATATTCCCTTAGGAGAAGACATCATTTGTGTCAAAAGTCTTACTTAGTACTATTTGTTGACTCTGTGCTCAAATATGTTTGCTGTCTTGGGTCAAGTAAGCTATACTATTAATTGATTTTTAATTTTTCTAAAAGTGGTTAATAGAAAACTACAAGTTATATTTATGGTTCTTATTATATTTATATTATTAGGTCATGTTCCTCTATAGAGAAGGAAAATCAGGTGTAAATTATCAAAATGATTTGAGAGACTAAGAGGAAGATCTCTGAGCCCCATGTCATCTCTTGAGTGTCAGTATGATTGGTTGTCACCCTGGCTCTTTTCTGTGGAACCATACAATGTACTCTATAGAGTACTCTATAGAGATCCGAGAAGAGACAGAAATCATGTGGGCATATGTATATTCATGTATTGCTCAGTGATAAGAGAGTGGCTTCCCACGTTTAGCATTGGAAACTACCGCCAAAGACCTTACACAGCTGCTTCTTCATGCCAGGGACCATAGGAGTTTAGCAAGTATGGATTGCAGATTTGGGCTCTTTTTCAGATCTTAGATACCAAAATTCTACTAGAAGTGTTACCTGCAGCATCTTCATTCCTCTGATTGGATAAGTGATGGTATAGATAGGGAATGTGTGATAATGTATTTTTGTAGCAAGAAATGGGAAAAACAATGGCTTTTAAGTGCCATGTTCCATTGTTTCTCATTCCAGTATCCAATGAGGCAGAGTGGGAGGTGACTGGAATTTATACTCCCTAAACAGTGTTCTAGGGTAAGTAATTCACAGACAGCAAGACCCTGGATGTGTTATATTAAATTATTCCCAGGAAAGGAAAGTTATTCATAACCCACAGCATAAGAATCGAGTGAATGAATACTTGACACATTTAACTGCATTAAAGGAGGGCCTTTAAAAACCACAGCTGATGACTGTTATTTTTAGCTGTGCTTTACCAGGCTCTCCACAGTTAGAATGTGTTTCACTGATGCCCAAAGGTATGGAGTGTGGTTTGGAAAAGTTAGAAAAGCTGCGCCTTTCTGGCTGATTGAATTATTACAAATTGGTGATTTCACATGTACACTCACAGGCATGTTGGACTTACAAAACAGGCAAATAAGAAACTTTGGATTTGATGCAAGTTTCAGATTTCGTGTGCTGAAAGCCCACCACATTTCAGTTTTCATTACTTTAAAGTACCATCAGATAAACAGCATGGGAATTTGTTTCTTGGTCTTCTCATCATACAGGATAGTACAGCTATTAATGTCCAAGCAGCTATAGCTATTCATCTTCCAAGATAGTAGCAAGCCTCATTCTCCTGATGCTTTTGAAGTGAAGAAAGAATCCTGGGGACAGGATATTGTAGTGAGAGTTTTCCTATAAGAAGCCTTACCTTCCTCTCCTTGATTGCAACCTGGTGTTCTTTCTTGGCTTAAGGGCATACCATAAAACCAAGCCCTTGAAATTGATGTTCCTGAATTTGCAAATAGAACTCTAAACACATGTGATATTTCCCTCTTAATATCCGGCTAACTAAGGTAGGTGTTTGTGTTTTAATGACTGTTTATATCTTACATTTAATCCTTAAGGCACGTCGATCCTGCAGAGTAACTAAATTAAAAAGTAGATTCCTGAAATGTTGTAATACTGTGGTGGTTTTCTGAGAGTAAAGGGTCATGCTCTAAACCTGCTACTTGTTTTATATTACCAGAAGTGTGTGTGTGTGTGTGTGTTTGTGTCTGTGTGTCTGTGTGTCTGTGTGTGTGTTTATCTGTGTGTGTGCCTGTTTGTGTGTGCCTGTGTGTGTGAGTGTGTGTGTGTGCCTGTGTGTGTGCCTGTGTGTGTGTATCTGTGTGTGTATGCCTGTGTGTTTGTGCCTGTGTGTGTGTGTATCTGTGTGTGTATGCCTGTGTGTGTGTGCCTGTCTGTGTGTGTGTATCTGTGTGTGAGCATGCCTGTGTGTGTGTGCCTGCGTGTGTGTGTATGTGTGTGTGTATCTGTGTGTGTGTGTCTGTGTGTGTGAGTGTGTGTGTGTGCCTGTGTGT